TGCCCAAAAAATGATGTTTATTCCTATGATAGAATCATTCCATAAATGCGAGAAAATAGAAACTTTCAAGAAAAACTAATTACAATTTCTTAACTATTTACATAAGATCTTATAAAACATCAATATCATGTTCTTCTTTGATATTTTTTGCCAGCCCCTCAGTTTCATCAGGCGTGAGCTCTTCTATTTTTCCGTCATTTGTCCCCGTGTCTTCATATTTAGCTTTGCCCCGGCCTACCCAATTTAAGCTTTTCACTAGATCAGCCTGAGCAAGTTTCAGCTTAGAAAATAAGTCATGAAGTACGTTTTCTTCAGCTTCAATGATTTCCTTTTTTTTTACAGTGACTTGGTTTAGCTCTACAATTCTTTGATATGCAGCATTTCGATCAAAATCTGCCTTCGAAAGTTTTTCATTATTTTTCAGTAGGTTTTGTTTCCTCTGCTCGCCTATTTCATCATTTATTAAGTGTTTATCAGCTTCTACTTTTAGTAGTTCTGTGTATCTTAGAGTCCATTCAGTGTCAATTATTCCATGTTGCTCCTGAATGGACCACGAACCATAAATGGGATGCCTGCTAATCTTTTTTCCAAAATCGTTCCAAAATTCCCTTCTTTGCCGCTCAAACCAGGTGATGCTTGGCGTATCAATCTCTACCTTGCTGTAGGTCTTCATTCGCTTCCGTGGATCCAAATTGGATTCGGAAGGATCAAAACATCTTTTTTGAGGTGGAGCACAACAATTACCCGATGTTGAAGGCCTCTCAGTAAATCGCATGTGAACTTGGGACRCTGGTGGCTGGGAATTTTCAATATTGGTCATCACTTGTCGCAGCYGCAGGATGCTCTCTTGTTTCGTGGACAACGATACCATTCTATGGGTGAACTTGAAGATTGCTTTCATGCACGGTTTTTCTTTAGAAATTAATTCTCTTAATTTCTCAAGCGTCATATCTAGAGCGATGCTCGGAAACTCTATAACTAAATCTTGGTTTTCGTCGATCACATGCACTGTTGCATACATTTTCTGTGTCATACTAACGGTATAAAAATTATAAATGAATATTGGGTCAAGAGAGGGTGTTAATAAATACTGGAGAAGAAACCGGAAATCACAGCTTGCATAAGATTTCACGGAACACACAGACTTTTCTGTGTTAATCCTTATAGATTACAAAATACCGGAAATAGAGCTTTGTCGGACCCCTCTGACAGAAATATGATTAAAAGTTGCTTTCGATCTTTATATGCATAATTACTTTGACAATGAATCCGAAATTGAGCTCGCGGTAAATTATTAGCCTTCCCGCCAACTTATCCCGCTATTTGAGCGTTGTTTACACGAAGGAAAAAGGTCTTAATCGGGCAGGAAAATCACATGAAATCATGACGTCAGCGTATTCGAAAAGTTCCGGTTACGAAATGTTAAGTTCCGTTTTTGGTGGAAAATTGTTCCGGATTCGTCCGGACTAGTGTGGACGGAAGGCCTAACCGGATAAATAAAGTTGTGGATTCAAATTTATCCGGCATAGTGTGGACGGGGCTCAGTGACCAGCAAAAACAGAACCAGCAATTAAAAAAATTATTCTTCATTTTTACCAGCAATTAAAAAAATTATTCTTCATTTTTTCTTACATTTCGTTTCTTTGAAATTATACCAAAAATGTTCTTAGCACCATAATTTTTTTTTCTGGGATTGATCCTAAAAATAGTCATGGAATTGAATTATGCTACATAAAAGATTACTAAAATTCGTAATTTCAAATCAAACTAAACAAAGGAATGAACAATAACAAGGATATCATTTAAAAAAGGTAAATTCAGTTTAAACCAAGTATTTAGCTTGATTTTTTAATGTTTTTTCTTAAAGCGTCTTGGGCTTTTCTTAGGGTACTTCGAGCTATATCGAAATTCGATTGGAGTTCTCTTAGTTCAATCATTTGTTGCTCGGTCTTGGCAGACTTAGTCTTCATTAGCTCCTTTATCTTGTCACTTAGAGTTTCACACTCTCTCTTAGCTAATTGAAATCTTTCTTTATTTTTTTCTAATGTTCCTTTCTTCATACTCGTGGATGCCATACGGACACCACTGCTTTCTCCTAAAAGGATTTCAGTTTTCTTTAATCGCCAAGCCTTGTGTATTTCCTCATAAATTTGAGTTTTTTTCAAGTCAGACTTGGCAAGAATTTTGGCCTTTGCATTCCAGAAGATTCGCCTTTCTTTTTCTTTGCCACGTGCATCTTCAATCTCCTTTTCCTTGTATATTTTGATCCCTTTAAGTAGCCATGCTTCGGGTGATTTAAGGCCCATTACAGTAGCCTGCTCAGGGATAGGTTCCTTGTTTGGT